TGGCGACTGATCAAAATATCAAAGATGATTTCCCACGGTACATATAGTACTGAGATTTGTCAAAGAATCCAAGTGTAATTAGCTTCCTTCTTTTCAATCCCTCGGGAGAAAAACAACGATGGCCTTAATGGCTGCTTGTAGCTGTTTGTATGTATCGCCCGCATGGGTAAACTTCTAGGCGCCAACGCAGGTCACAATGAATGAATTGCTTAGGTTTCCTGACGAAATTGCTCGCGAGCGGCAAACTAATCGCAAACATCGCTACCTCATACGAGGAAAAAACAAAACCATAAGAAGCGCAGCACATTACAAGATGTGTTCAAACAAAAGACAAGAGCAGGAAGGACTTTCCGAAGGCTGATTATTTGGTTTGTGAATAAATTTGCCAAAAACTGCTCTGCAAACAACGGAAAAAAAAATTTATCCAGAAACAAGCACGAAGAACAAGCTGAAACATAATTCGTGCATTAGAGACAAAAAAGATCGAACAACTGAACTCATTTAGAGACGAAACAGTGCCTGAAATGACTGCCATAAGGGTTTTTCATTTTTCGAACAGTAGCTACACTGGTCACATTTCATTCAGATATTTTCGTCCTGCGACGGATTGACGTACACTGAAATGAACATGAGTGAATTCCTAATCGCCAAACTCTTTACAACAAAACTCTGTGGCACTAAAAGATTTAAGACAGGGTATAAATCTTAATTTGAAAAAAATTCTCTACTAAAAGCCAGACCGCCGCGAAAACTGGTGTGGGGACCTACAGTTAGTGATGTTACTAGGCTGCTCTATAATTTGTTGACAATTTCTTCGGTCCTGAACTAATTAGCACTTACTGTATGCTCGATAAGTATGTGTCACTTTTCGGAGATCTCAAAACGACAGTACAACAGCACGCGAAGATGTCAAGGACTCTATAATACAGCGATAAACGAAAAGAGAAGGAAAGTTGCTCCAGCTGTGTCTTGTTCATTTACCTTATTTAAAATAAGCATTCATCTTAACTAAGATGTGTTTGCTGCTCCAATTTTGTTGCACGACCAGCCAAAGTTAATTCGTAAAGTGGTGGCAAACAGTTGCACTGCTGTCATTATCATTATCATTATTATCATCATCATTAT